TCTGAACTCCATATGGCATGGGTCTCTTTCTCTTTGAACCTATCATTTGCCTGTCTTCTGTTAAATTCTAGTTAAATGGGCCTGAAGATTTGGGGTAACAGTTGTGTGGGGATAAGACAAATAGTAGCCAGATGGTTTAGCCTTATAATCAGCAGAGCCTTGATAATTCCAAGAACTGCTGAACATCTACATCTCCTCCAATTCTACTGAGTCATTGCTTAGCAGGATGTAGAGTGCATCATGCATAAATGCCTAACAAATGTTGCAATCGTCCTCTCTTAAGGAAAACTCTTGGAGGACCTGATCCCTATTGCCTTGTGTGGTTGTTAAATCCATTCCATCTCTTTAAAGGCACCTCTGCATCACTTGCTGTGGAACAGACTTCTAGAGCTTACCCACATCCCTTTTCTGTTGTTCCTGGTCACAAAGAAGACTGATTTCTAGGCAGGCTTCAGTTCTCAAAATAACATTAGGATAAGGCTATAGATTTTATCTCTATATTACACATGAAGAAACTAAGGTTTGAGTAGATAAACGACTTGTTACAGGTAACCAGCTGGTTGATGGAACTGATATTCAAACACAAGAAGTGGTTTCTAGGCTTGCATCCTTAAGCACCAATTTATTACTTATCGCTCTTTTGTAAAAATTAATCTCTCAAATTCCTTTTCACCTTCATGTTGTATTCCACAAATCTGTTGTATGATTTTGACACTGGTAAAATTAGGTTTGTAAAATCACTGTTCAGGAATATTTGGAGGTAGGAAGAATGTGAAGGGTGTATAAAGAACTCGTCATAAAAAATGAAGTTAATTTAGCTTTGATAGTAGGAAATCACATTGAAAACTCAACTTCCTTACTAGATAAACTTATATTGCTATTGGACCTATCAAATGCTCAAATAAGAAACTAATTAGACATTTGATTTAAAGAGCAGTCAATAACTTTTAGTATACGCATGAATAAAATGGCCATTTACTTGATGATCGTCTTCCTTAACTAACCTTGGATCATTTCCTTAAGCTTCTGCACCTTGTAAAGTGCATCAAAGAAGTGAGCACGGGGTAAGTTAAACTACAGACTATTAGAGATGATCTTAGTCTGGCATCTCCCTCTTAATATTACGCTATCGTAGCTTGTCAGATTTTACCTTTGGATTCCTGGACTTATGACCAGATCTTTTTCTGCCCAGCTTCTATTTTCAGTTCAGAATTCATGCTTATTGAATCAGAAAGAACTTTTAAAGGAGATATTTATGTCTAGCTAATCTGACATATGACTCTTCTAGGAGTTCTTACTTCAAAGCCTCCTAACCAGTCTCCCTAATTCTATTCTTGACTCCATCTATTATCTGAACTGTATCCACGGTGATTCAAAAGTGATAAATAAGCACATAAGTACAGAAATTAGATCATGCCATTTTTCTGCTTAAATATCTTAAAGGGTTTTTCTTCATATTTAAAATAAAATTTCAACTCTTCATTACAATCTACAAAGCTCAGCTTTATCTGGCCCCTGATCATCTCACGGGAATTCGAGAGTTACTATAAAATTACAATAATCAAGATAGTGTGGTATTGGCAAAAGGACACATAAATAGACCAATGGTACAGAATGAGAACCCCATAAATAGACCTATGAAAACATCATCAACTGATCCTCGACCAAGGAGCAAAGGTAATTCAATGGAGAAAGAACCATTTTCAACAGATGGTTCTGGAATGACTATGCATCTACATGCAGAACAATAAACGCAGGCACAGATATTACATTTTTCACACACACACAAATGACTCAAAGTGGATTACAGACATAAATGCAAAGGCAAAATTAAAAATAAAAACTTCTAGCGGATAACACAGAAAAAACCTAGATGTCACCGGGTTTAGATGTAATACCAAATGCACTTTCCATGAAAAAAAAAAAAAAAAGTTGGACTTCATTAAAATGAAAAACTTTTGCTCTGTGAAAGATACTGTTAAGAGAATAAAAAGACAAACCACATGCTGGGAGAAAATATTAGAAAACACATATCCTATAAAGAATTTGAATCCAGAGTATACAAAGAAATCTTAAAACTCAAAAGTAAGAATATAAACAAGCAATAAAAAATGAGCATATGATCAAAGTAAACATCAAGATATATAGATGACAAAGAAACAAATGAAAAGACACTCAACATTTTGTTATTAAATAACTGTGAATTTAAACGAGAAACCATTGCACATCTATTAGAATGGCTAAAACACAAAACACTGACAACACAAAATGCTGGTGAGGATGTGGAGAAACAAGAATTCTCATTCTTTGTTGGTGAAAATGCAAAATGGCATAGTCATTTTGGAAAACTGGTCTTGCAGTTTCTTAGCTAAACATAATCTTACTATATGGTCCAGCACTCACTTTTTTACCCAAAGGAACTGAAAACATATCCATACAAAAACCTGCACGTAAATGTTTATGGTAGCATTATTAGCAATTGCTGAAATTTGGAAGGAACCAGGATTCCTTCAGTAGATGAATGAACAAAGTGGTATATCTACGCAATAGAATATTATTCAGTGCTAAAAAGAAATGAGCTATCAAGCTATGAAGAGACATGGAGAAACCATACATACATACTATTAAAGGAAAGAAGCTGATCTGAAAACTACATAGTATATGATTCCAACTATATGATATTTTGGGAAAGTCAAACCTATAGAAACAATAAAAAGATCAATGGTTGCCAGGATTGGGTAGAGGAAGGGAGGGCATGAATATATGGAAAATGGAAATTTTAAGACAGTGAAACCATTCTATATAATACTGTAATAGTGGATATAAAACATTATTCACTTGTGAAGACTCACAGGTATATACAACATTAAGTGTGAATCCTTAATATAAACTATGGGCTTTAGTTAATAATGTATCAATATTTGTCCCTCCATTGTAACAAATGTACCACACTGACACAAGATATTAATAATAAGGGAATCTGTTGAGAAGGAAGTGGAAGGGGCAGCGTATAGCAACTCTGTCCTTTCTGCTCAGTTTTTCTGTAAACTAAAATTGCTCTAAAAAATGAAATCTATTAATTAAAAATATATGACAAATGGCTAAATAGTAATGTACTGATAAGTTCCATTAGAGGTCAGAGAAGAAGCATATGAAGGTAATCTGGGAAAATCTGCCCCACGATGAAGGTGGGGGCTTGGACTAGGCCTCCAAGTTGCTTAGAATGTGGACAGGTAGAAAAGAAGAATTAGAGAATTCCAGATGAGGAAGACAAATATACAAAAAACTGGTAAAAAATTCTTGAAATGTATCTAAGCTATGAAAATAATCACCGAGGTTACTTGCTGCTATGGTCTGAATGTTTTTGAGCCCCAAATACATATGTTAAAGTCCTAATATCCAATATGGTATGAGAAAATGTGGCCTTTGGGTTTTGCCCTCATGATTAGGATTAATGCCCTTATGAAAGGAATCCCACAGAGCTTCCTAGTTCTTTCCCTCCATGAGGGTACAACAAGAAGTCTACAACCTGGATAAGGTCCCTCACCTGACCAAGCTTGCACCATGACCTTAGACTTCCTGCCTCCAGAACAGTGAGGAATAAACTTCTGTTGTTTATAAGCCACACAGTCTCTGATATAATGTTACAGCAGCCTGGTGGACTAAGACAGCTGGTTTTTTTTGTTGTTGTTGTTTGTTTGTTTTTTTTTTTAATTTTTTTAAATATCCAGTATTGGTGCTTGTCAAGGTTAAATGGGATAAGCTTTTTCCTTCCAAGTAGTGAGGATGGACATGTGTATTCATTCAGTTATGCAGCATGGAAAGACTGAAGTTAACTGGTCTGCTAGGGAGCTGAAACTAACTGGTCTTGCGTTGTTGCTATCTTATCTCTGTAGGCAATAGTCAACTGTGTAATTACCAAAGAAATTTCTTGAACAAAAGGTAGGCCATGTTTACTCCACTAGAAGGCATGGGTACATTATAAAAGGACCTACTAACTGATAAACTTTTCAAAGTCTTAGGAGCAGCTATTTCTGCTTAATCCCAACTACATCTCACCTACTAAAGCACCTACTAATCCAGAGGTCACAGCTCTTGATATGTATTTTCTAAAACAATCAAATGTAGGAGCTTTTTCCAATAAGCTAATGAGCTCCTACGTATACTCCATTTTGATTTATAACCAAATCACACAAGTATCCTCCTTATTAAGAAAATACATTATAATACATATGTTGGAGGTTTAAAATAACTGTAAAATTCTCAAACTTGATAAAATGGGCAAGTTTCTGGCACCTGGATTATTGGTCTCTTAGATCCCTCCAGATATAATGCCAATATCTGGGTTTCTTGCCTCTGCAGTGAGTCTCCAGCCTGGATTCCTTGCCTTCAATTTTGTTTTTTTTTTTCCTGCAACTAAGGTGCTGCCTTTATTACCGGCTGCCCTTTCCCTGAAACCTGCTTCCACCAATAGCCCCTCTTAGGAGACCACACAAATTTCCTTAGTAGCCAGCCCACTGTGATTCAGGGCCCTGGAGACATTGCTCTCCTGGGCCTGATAAAGATTTGTTTGTCTTTTACACGGAGGAATACGTGAAATACTAGGTGCATTTATTATCGTGAAATCATCTAAGCACTTAAACGTTCCAGATTCAGCGACTAAATGATTAGTTTGTGTAATTCTAAAAAGCTCCGTGAGCTGGGTACTAATATTACCTATACAACACAGGAGAGAAAAATGAGGCACAAAAAGGTTAAATAATTTAACCAGTCCCACAGTTAGTTAAGACGGTATGAACCCAGGTGGTCCGAGTCCATCCCGCATTTACCTGCACTTGGGTTGGTGTCAAACTTGGGATGCGAATCGGGTTGGGGGTGGGGAAGAGGTTGGGAAGTGAAATACTTGTCCCTGGCTATTTGCTCTAACGGGACTCAGAGGCACCTGGAGGGCAGATCTGCCCCTGCCCTTAAAATAACTTAGGCCCATTGGCGGCGCTTACCTGGCTGCCCCAGGCAACGACCTCCAGAGCGTGCAGGCGCTCGGCGTGCGGCCCCGGGCGGGGGCGGGGCCTGGCGGGAGTCCATCTTCGCAGCCGGTGAATTGTCAGCGTGGCGGGGGCGCTGACCTCACAGCTGTCTGCGGAGTTGGCATTAGGGTAGCCACAGCCCGGACCACCGTGCGTGAGACCGCGGCCGCCCTGAGGCTCTCGGCTTTCTGCACCTGACTCGGCGCAGAGGCATGCGGGTAGGTGCTCATGACCCGCTCCAAGGCCTGGGCTGGGTGGGACACGCGGGCCGCGGCGCTCGCGCGGGAAGGGTGGGCGGCCAAGTTTGGGACGTGCCCTGCGCCCACCCGGGTCCGCGCTCCTGCGGTGAATAGTCGGCTCCATGACCTGTTGAATCTGGTACAGCAGCGGCCACTCGGGCGCCCCCGCGGTATTGGAGGATTGTTTTTTTTTTTTTTTCTTCCAGCAAGTGGATTGCCTGCACAGCCCAGCTTTTACTAAGTTATTCAAAACTTTAACTTCACCTTCACTGCACATTTGTCTATGCGCGCTCTACGTGCCAGGCAATCGAATAGGTCCCCAGCATGTGCTCCACAGCATTATTTGTGACAAGTATGATGATATTTAGAATTTGTAGAGCTCTTTGCCCCCGTCTCAGCTATAAACCTTGACTCCACAATATGGCCAGGGACCAAGTATCTCTCTTATCAACCTTGTTCTGCAGACTGATGGGATTCAGGTGTCAACCTCGTCTCCTTAGACTCTTCCTGGGAGAGATGAGAGGTCTCTGTTATATAAATTCTAGTGGCAGGACTTCGTATAAAATACATTATCTAGTTGCAGTTACTGTGGATAAGCAATATTTCAATGAATAAAAGTTTTGACTTTTTGTTTTAACACTAACAGGACATTAGGAAAGAAGTCAGTAGATTTTGCCAACCAGCTAAATCTTTCGGGCCATTTTGCCTGGGAGCTTGGTTTCTTCAGATGTGCAAACCGATGAATGGAATCAGATGATCAGTTCAGAAATCTTGATTCTAGAATACTCGTGTGACTTATATGATATACAAATAATAGTTGTCTTTTTCTTTTAGATTGTAACTCTTCACCCCCTTTTTCTGGAGCTGCAGTTTGGGGGTAATCTAGGAATTATATTCTCCGGCAAATAAAAGTCTTTCATTTGTAAAATGCCAACCAATAAAACTCTGACTCTTTCCTCAAGGAGACAGTAGTAAAAGGCTTAGGTCAAGTGGATGCATCTTTTTGGCCCCAGGCTTGAATTTGAGTTACTCATGCTCTTTTTAACCTTCAAAATGCTAATGATAAATTTCTAAAAATTTTCATCTGTGCTTATCTAAATTTCTAAAAATTTTCATTTGTTCTTATCTAAGAAGGATCTTAATATTGACCTTACTCTTTTCTCATTTGAAAGATTCAGAAAAACATGTGGCAAAATTCTGAATTTTGCCTTGTTTTATATTGTGAAATGAAGGAAATACATTGATATTTAATAATTTTAAAACCTTTCAAATGATTATTGGAAACAGTTTTGAGAAATTTTTAGGTTCACTTTGAGTGAAGAATATTGCCAGATTTTACTTGATGAAAGATATGGCCCCTGTTCTCACAGCTGAAATACCGCTTCTGGTTTGCAGTCATTTGTGAATAGGTTCCTACATGCTCTAAGGGATTTGTATTCAGAAATCAAGTTGATGGCTTTCAAAGGGAAGAGTGGAAGTGCTGGTTCGTGGATTTGAACCCAAAGAAAAGACCACTAGCCTCTGAACTCCAAGTGCAGGGGATAGGGAGGCCTCATTGTATGGTCACACTGGTTTTGCTGACTATAGTTGGATTCCTTACAAGCTGGCATTTGTTAATTCCTCTTCCCATATTTAGCTGCCTTGTTAGTCCTAGTGACACAGAAAGGGGAGCCAGTGTTTCTGGGTTCCTTACTGTGTTAGTTTCTTATGGTTGCCATAGTAAAATGCCACAAGCTAGGTGGATTAAAACAATAGACTTATTGTCTTATAGTGCTGGCTGCGCGGAGTCCATAATCAAGGAGTCAGCAGGCTTCCATTTCCTCTGAAGTCTATAGGAAAGAATCCTTCCTTGCATCTTTCTATCTTCTGGGTATAGGTAATCATTGATATTCTTTCACTTGTAGAAATGTTGCAATCTCTGCTTCTGTTGTCATGTAATTCTCTTCTCCCTATGTGTATGTGTCTGCTCTACTTATAAGGACACCGTCATACTGGATTAGGGCCCATCATAATGACCTCATCGTAAAATGATCACCTCTGCAAAGGCTCCCCGCCGTCCCCAATAAGATTGCATTTACAGGTACCTGGGTTAGGACTTCAACATATTTGGGTGGCAAACAACTCAGAACACTGCTCCTTTTCTGTGTGCTCTGGCAAGTCACTTTTTACTTTTGTTTCTTTATTTGTAATTCTTCTGTACTGTAAAGGATATATAAAGACCAGGGACCTGACTTCAGTATGAGAACTAAAAAATAAGGTCTGTATAGCAATCTTTAGCCAGTACTATGTTATTCTGTTATCTCTTTATATCATAATCTAATTCTTTGAATTTGCCTGGTATCACTTTTCCAGGGAGTTCAAAGTATATTCCATGTGCTATCTCAATCTGTGAATTTAAAACAGGTGCCAGTACTTATTTTTTGTTGATACAGGCATATTTAATTTTATTGGGTGTAGCTTAATTGTGTTTCACGGATGTTGTGTTTTCCACAAATTGAAGGTAACATTCTCCACCAGCCAAAATATTACAACTCACTTTATTGCAATACTCTATTGGGGTGGTCTGGGATCTCCGAGGTATGCCTATATTTCTCTTAACGTTTAAACATTGTGTTTGTTAGTAAAGATTATTTTATCGGTTTGCAGACTTGTGTTTAGAGGCAATCTCGGACTTCAGTATGAAGTCTCTAATGCTGTAGAGGAGGAAAAGTAAACTTTGAAACTAGCAAAACCAATTTCCAGTGAATGGGTTGCAGGCTTGGGATCAAGTATAAGAAGTTTTTTCCACTCTGTCACAGTGCCCAATTTCAACATGAAAACACACTTCTTTTTACATTTGTGTGTTTTCACGCAGTTTGGGGTACTGTCCAATGAATTTGGTCTTTTTCCTTTATCTTGACAATTCTGTAATTTTTAAAAATATCCCCTGGAAGAAAAATTTTTTTAAATTATCCTAAATGTTCTAGAATTTACATAGTTAAATGGAGTTAAATCCTATGGTATGTGTCATGTCTTGTCTCATCTCCTATAAGTCTTCTCTTGATTATTATTTGGAGTTTGACATCATCCAGTAGGAGTAAGTCAAGGGAACATTCCTGGAGGGTGGGGACTATGTAGATGAGTTCAGAGGAAGGAAGAAGAAAAATAATACCTCCTTTTTAATAACTTAAATTTTAGAATAGATTTAGATTTACAAGAGTCATGAAATTAGTACCTATTTTTCACATTACGTCACACGCAGTTTATCTTATTAATATCTTACATTAATCTGGTATCTGTCACAATGAACTAATGTTGATATATTAATATTAAATAAAGTTTATACTTTACTCAGATTTCCTTAGTTTTTAACATATAGTCTTTTTCTTTCCAAGAACCCATCTGCATTATACTGAGTTGTCATATCTCCTTAGACTCCTCTATACTGTGACTGTTTCCCTTTATTTTTAGTTCTGCATCTGTTGATTCTTGGTCACTGTCCTAGCCATTTTGCATATATTATTTCAAATGCTCCAAACGATAACTGAGAAGAAGTAACTCTTTTTCAACAGAACAGCTAGGCAATTTGCCCAAGGCTGCATTAATAGTAAAAGACAGAGGCAAGGATGGAACCCAGGGCCCAGCAGTTTAAAATCCATGCTCTTTTCTAATTCTTTATATTTGTATCAACTAGCACTGTGCTTGCTGCCTAAGCAGTTTCCATGTCCAGATATTCTTTCAAGGTTTGTTATCCTCAGCACTGCTGGCATTCTCTCTATTGTGGGGGTTGTTCTGTGTATTGTAGGATGTTTACCAACATTCCTTCCCCCTACCTATGAGATGCTAGCTGTATTTCCACCTTCCTCACCCTCCATCAGCAAAATAGTTGTGACAACCAAAAATGTCTTCATACACTGCCATTTATGCCATGGGGAAAATTGCCCACTGGGAACCAATAGGTTAGCGCTTCTTAACTTTTCAGTAGGTGGCAATAATCTAGAACTAACAAGTATTGAATAAGCTACTACACAATGTTGAGATATGAGGCAGTTAATTATTTTGAACTTTTAAACTATAAGACCATTTTAAATAATGGATTAGCTCATTGTTTCTTAAAGTTTTGTGGGAAAACATGGGCTATGTGATGTATTTTTAGTCCAGTCTAAGAATGAAAATAAAATTGTTAATTATTCATTTAGAGTGTTAGTGTTTAGTAACTCTGTGTGTATGTTTACATTGGGTCCAATTTAATGACGTGTATATTGATCTTAAGAATTTTAATATAATCTCACTATTTGAAATGATTACAGAAACTTTTTTTCCCCCTTAAGTAGTTTTCACAGCAGGGCCATAATTGATGCTGTGTGGCTCATGGTTGGTGCTGACTGTCCCCTTGTAACTTTTGAGCAAATGTAATTTACTTGATATGTATAATTTATGGCTTGATTTTTAAAAAGAAATTATAATTTGATTATTTAGTGTACATTCTTAAAAGCAAAGATGATTCTTAGTCTTACAAAAGTTACATTGGTATTCAATATTTTAGATATTTAACCCTTTCATTAACCTTTTTGGTCAGATCCAAATGTTTAGGAAGGACATACTTTTGCTTTTGAAAAAACAGCTATTGTTTTCAAACAAATAAAGATAAGACTGCTTGAAAAATGTTAACTAGCCTAGATTTATGTGGTGCTTAAGAGCACGTGTTGGGTGCTGTAGGTATAGCTTAAAATGTCTGAGCTTCCTATTAGGCTTTACAAAAGCTTTGTATCTGACAATCACATATGTCCCTAATCTTCATTCCTTATAGATCTATCCTATTTTATTTAGTGTTTAATGCCCATATCTAAATGGAAAGAGATAAAATTGCAATCTCTGAACCATTAAGCTCATTAATTTCCACCCAAAGTAAACTTAAACATAGTATTCAATACTTGTATCAGTAGATGAAGAAACCAACCTATAGAGATTGTCTCTTATCCATGGTTATTACAGCTGGTCAATAGATTCTTTGATTCCTTTGGTCACGATGCTTTTAGAAAATGCTTGACTGGATGTAAAAGCATCAAGATGTGGATAGTGATGAATTTTAAAGAGTTTTCTAGGTCATGTGAAAGCAGGATTTGAGGACAAGCTGAAGCTTAAATTCTGATGAGTAGACTTAACAAAATATTCATTGAATGTTTCTAGTCTCTTGAATCCTGTTTAGAAATCACAGCAACTCATTTTACTGAGCTATAGTCTGCTATACCAATATTTATGTCAACTGTTACTTGTTGTAGACACTACATAGTTTCCAGTCAGCATGTAGGCTGTCTGTATTTGAAAACGTCAGCATTAAAAAACAAAAAACAAGTTAACCTAGTGTGAGTTTTGGCATGTTTACTTGACTTTAATGAACATGATCTGGTTTGGGTCTGTGGTGATAATGCCTGAGGAGAAATCCTAAAGTGTAATTGTTGGTAATTGATGGTGAGTGAAAACAAAAGGGACCTGAAAGTGCTGAGTCAAATCCTGTCTGGAAGAATCAGGAAACTGTGGGTCACAGGTGCATACTATCCTGCTCTAACCTGTTCTTAAGTCTTTTATACAGTGTTGTTCAACCTGCAGAACTTCCCAATTTCCCATATTTAAGCAGCAAGTCATAAGGGGAAATTTAATTTTGCACCAACTGACCCTACCCTGCTCCTAGGCTATAAATTCCCACTTGTTCATGCTGTATTTAGAATTGAGCCCAGTTCTATGCTAAGCTATCTTCTCCTATTGCAGTAGTTTCTGAATAAAATCTATTTTTATTGCTTTAAAAAACAGGAAATTTATTCTTTACCTCTTAATTTCTCTCAGAAGATC